AAAAATGTCATTGATCTTACGTTTAAATAACCCCAGAGACTCTGTGTTCCTTATATCGCGTGGTAAACTGTTCCATAATGTGGCGCCATTGTAGCTAAAGCTTTTTCTGTAATAATTAGTGCGCGGTAGTGGAACATTAAGCTTATTTTCAGAGTCCCTGAGGTCATAAGCAGAGTCACGCCACGTAAACTTTGAATATAGATACCTTGGAGCTAGAAATTTAGAAATGCTTTGCTTGGTATACATTGATACAGTTAACTCCTATAACGATTAAAAGTAATCCATGAAGCATTACGATTGTCTAGACGAAACACTGCTCTAAATGAGGGTTTTCTTCAACCTAACGAGCTAGACAAGAAGCAGTTACGAGTTACAGAGAAAAAACTGGTCAGTCCTCATCATTTTCATCTAAAGTGTGGGTAAAAGACCAGCAGCGACACACGCAGCCATACAAGTACCCTGGGCAGCATTACACGCTAGAATGGCAGCAGGAACTCCTATGCCTCCTGTGGAAACACCTGCAACCCCACCGGCAGCAGCTACACAGGCTACCCAGACAGCGTTACATCCTGTCTGGCAAATTCCATAGGCCAGTGGACCCGACTGGGTAATCTGAATAAACATGGCCAACACCACGACGTACTTCATGAAAGACACCATTTGACTGTTCTTGTACTGAAAGTTAATTATCAATCAAAGTGAGATGTTTAGAACATTATTTCAGCTGGACAGCTAACCCTTGTTATTCCAATGCATAAATCGCTATGTGATAAATGGCTTAATACGTTTTCCTAATGCTTCTTCACTCAGTCGATAGCGCCGGTCTAGTCTTAAACAAAATCGATGAAAACAGCCCAAGAATCACGTGATTATGTCGAAAGTGGAAGGGCGATTACGTTTGCCATAAATTTCGAAGAAGTGTTCAACCTTGTCACTAATATCTTTGATCTTTTGGTTCATTACACGCCAAATCGGAGAACTTCGTCGCTAAAAACCTCGCTCGTCAACTGTGTTGGACTGTTGGGGTAAACTAGCTCGAACACCAAGCGCAAACGGAAGGCACCAGGAGTCTGATCAGGAACTTTTATTTCACTCTCTGAGTCTCCGTCTCTCTCTTTGTAATTCAGCTCTAAGAACATGCCCTTAAATATCCTATCAGCAGGCATGTTTGGACTTACGGGACAACTGACCGTGGGAGAATAAACATATTTTTACAACGCTAACCAAAATAATTTCAAGAGACATTCGAAATGAACAACGAAGTACCTGAAAACAACCAATCTTCGAAAACAAAAACCTAAACAAAACTTCCCGTCGAGACTCTAAACAAGGTCAAGGACAAACCCAAACACGACTTGTGATGACGATTATGGACTTCGTAGGAGAATTAACCCACGTGATCACAAAGCTAAAAAGGTCTATT